TGTCATTAATTTTTATTTGGAATGGACTTTCATCATTTGTATGAACCATGTGCTGTTGTGGTATGTAACACCATAATATATCATAGTAGATCTGCAAACTTGTCACACAAAGTTTCATAACGTAGAAAAGCCGGTAAAGTACGTGCAAGCATCGATAAGTGGTAAACATACATAAATTAAGACAACAGTTGTTAACCGATGTTCAAATCTCATAAATCAATTAAGAAGACAAACATAAGGTTACAAAAAAAACCCTGAGTGAATCGAAAGCGAAACCGGTTTCGTCTGAACTCATGTTTTTTTCCTTGTCAAATCTCATAAATCAATTGAGAAGACAAATCAAGGTAACAAACAAAAAGAGGGGGAATCGAGACCAGGTGCGTCTGAATTCATTTTTTTTCTCTTGTCATTTATATTCTATAATGCATTTGAAGGCGCGTTAGTTCCGAATAAGACAGAAAATTAAAATATGATTTTTGTTTTTGTTTCAAACATTTATAAGAGCGGAATATAGAAATAATACTTCGCTCTCAGCAGTTATTCTTGTTCAATTTAGTCAAAATAAGCTAAAAAACATTGCTGATGTATTATTGGCTTGCAAGTCAATAATTCAACATCATGCAATTTTTCATTTTAGCCTAAGTTGGAGATGTTCATCAAGTGGTTAGCATGTTCATTCGTTAAAAAAAAAAGAACGTCAACATTGAAAAGTGAAACAAAGGAGCTACCAGGAATAATCACATTGTTGACTGGTCCGGCATAAAAAAATTCATTCTTATACAAGTGAAAATATGATTTACTATGGAACGCCGTATCTGTCTGATACTATGATATAGTGCGTCATTACATGATGATACTTTATTATTAAATGATGATTATTAATTTTAATATGATCATAGTTCGTCATTACATGATGATACTTTATTATTAAATGATGATAATTAATTTTCATATGATCATAGTTCGTCATTATATGATAATACTTTATTATCATACGATTTTAAGTCGTCATTGTATGATGATACTTTGTCATTTCGTGGAACTTATTTTAACAGTTAACCTACTGAAAACAAAGAAGCCGCTTGTGGCATTTGTTGGTATGTGTAAGTTCATTGAAGTATGTGGAATGTATAGGCGTTTTACGTTTCCGCATTTTGGCACTACGTTTCCGCATTAAAATTCCTACGTTTCCGCATTTTTATAGTACTCTTTTCCGCATTGTTTTTACATTGATTTTGTTAAAGGTTATTTACGTTTCCGCATTTTAATTTTTAATGTATGCCTCTTCCGTTTGCCAGGCAAACCTGTTGCCCCCTGCTCAGCAACGGGGAGGTGGAAGTAGGACTTCGAGCAGGATAAGTCTTTATGATTAAAATGAAACTATCAAATTAAAATGATAAAAATCATACATGGTCATATATCAATTAAAAGTCTCAAAATACACTTTCTTAGATACCAGAAGTTCAAACACTGTGAACTTTTCGAAGAACAATGATATGCAAATGGCAATATTGACCGAAACCAAATAAGGACATGAAATTGAGTGTCCAAAAAATAAATCAAACATATGCAAATGAATATAAAAGATATAACCAAATACGGAATTCAACGCATATGGGGTGACTTTCCACATGGTGACTTTTGAAAAGTGCTCACAATGTTAAATCTGAATATAATCTACCTGTTGAAGGAATTATATTATCATAATAAAATACAAATTAAGAAAAAATACTATTATAAAATAAAGTCTTATATATCATTATTACCATTTTTTTACAGGTGAAATACAGGTAAAAATGCGGAAAGGTGGTATCTAATTATTTCGGAAAAGTAATGCATGAAAATGCGGAAACGTGAAACTGGATTTTTGCTAAAAATGCGGAAACGTAATACGCCCGAATGTATTATAGAATCTTAATTCGCGGAATTCCTATGGATATTTTGAGATGAAACCTAACGCCCGATATTGTATGCTGTCGGTGTACGTACTTACAGCTATCGGTATTTCAAATAGGTCAGAAGGAATGTTACTCAGAACCGAATACGTTAAGTATGAAACATCTAAATCAAACAGAATGCAGGATACGAGTGGCGATTGAAAAAAGGTTTCAGATCTCTGATATAGCAAAGCTGTAACAGATATCGGAAAGTACGGTCTAACGCAGAATGACACAGTTTTGATAGAATAAACGGTCTTTTTAACAAATAAACAACTATGATCTGGGTGAAATAACAGGAGAAATAATAAAAGATTATCCTATGAATAGAGGAAATATTTTGAGACAGATGTTAATTGCGAAAATCATTTGAATAAAGAGATGGCAACAAAAAGAGTGTGTTCACCGAAGACAAATCTGGTGTACAGGCAAGAAAAACAGGAAGACTCCATAGACGTGCCTTTATCATAATGAACCTAAACTAAAATCACTTAGCAGCACAACATTACATTTATTTGAACGAAATAAACAGGAGGCTAAAATTTTAGGCAGTAGCATGGTCTGGTCACATAGTCCGCACAATAAAATCATCTCCTCTGAACTTGTTGACATCAGGCCAATTACAATTACAAAACCCTGTACGAATTCCATTCGATCAAACATATTTGATATATAATGGCGTTGAAAGATATATTTACAATAACGCTGAAGATGGAAGCAGATCAATTTTTGAGCCCCTAAAACAAATGCTTGATGAACGATGTAGGCGGATATCAAATGAAAAATTACTTAGAAAAAATAAGGAATAAGGAATGTTAACAAGTACTCGAGAATGTTGTTGCTTTATTTTAATAAAATGGACTTTTGAGTGCCTTCTTAAATATGAAATAGTATTCTTTCATTAATAAAAAATTAAGATACGTTTCGAATGTTTGCGCTTAATTGTCATTTTTTTTTCCAGATAGAGGAGGGCTATGCACGAGATCATCTTTCCTAGACTAGCAACGTGCCTTCGCCATTCCACCAAATCTGTACCGTCAGAGCAAATATTCCCGTCTGCATGACTGTTAGTTATGTAACACGGTTGAAAAATCGACTCTTCTCAAAAAAAGTTGACAAGATAATATTTCTATGTAAGAACAAATTCATTGCACCCGGTGGTGACCATGAAAGAATGTTTAAACGCATCAGTAAGGCAAGTTCTAATCATTACCCTTTTGTTAATCATTAAATTTGTTTTCTTTACGATATCCAAATACTGTTGATTGATCTGGTTTGACTCTGTAATCGTTTTTCAATAGGTGTCTATTAAATTATTGGTTAGATTATTGTTTACAAAATAATTACATGTAGTTAATTAGCTATCAATAACTGGTATAAAATTCATGAGAAAATTATCTAGTCCTAGATAATAAAGTTGAGAGTTTTATGTCTATTAGTCGTCAACCCATAATGTAAAATTGGTAAAATTCGTGTTTCCATTTTGTAGATATTTTTCCTCGCTCGGTAAAGCCAACGAGTACTCGATTAGTAATTCTTCACCGAGTTGACATCCCTAGAAAAATACTAATTTTGGAATTGATGATCATCAAAGGTGTTTAGAGATCATAAATATAATCTACATTTTCTTTTTATTATTAGTATAAAAAAATGTTAAACTGCATTATTACGAGGAGTATAACCATTTCGAACAGCTTTGTGTTTATACCAATCAATTTAAACGTTTTTGCCTTTACTCTGAAGGAAAAATAATGCAAAGATTACATGTCATGATAGGCACAAGCGGACAATGTCAAGCTCTAATTTTCTAAACTTAAAACCAAAGTCAATAAAGTGTGTAAGTCATATCCTACTTTTAGTGGCAAGCTGACAGTCTCCATTAGAAGCATTTTAACACAAATTAAAGTGAAAAAAGGTCAACTAGTATATAAGAACTAAGTTTTGACGCGTATGCTGAGTTTTCTCCAACACAGTAACAGTCAGGCTATCTAATATGAAACCATCCAGTTTAGTCCTATTAGTTCTCTTGTTTCGAAATTGGTAAATTTTAAAAATCCTGTAAATAAATAACCCAACGTGGTAAAAACCATTGTGCTAAAACTAATAATTTGATTTCTAAAAAAGATTAGAGAGCAGTCAACGTTGTTTACAGATATCTATGCTAACGACAAACCCAGAACATTATGTGATTGCATAAAAAATCTATATATAACACAAGAAACTGAACAGTCCCATTGCTTGGTTAACGTTTGTTTAATAATCTCCTTTCTCTATAAACACTGTCTTTCTCTAAAAATCCATGCTTCGTCACAGTTTAGAAAAGACATGGTTATCCAAATCGTGTGGTAATATGTATCATTGTTTTTGTCAAGGTTTTTTAATATACTATTTGGAATTGTAAACTTGATTTTTTTTCTTTTACTCTTTATGACAAAAGATCAACTGTACATGAAATGGGTTACGGGTTAGTAACGGTGATATTGTATTCTATTTTACGTAGTCAGGAACCACTAGTTATTCATTTTATTTTTTGTTTTTATTTCCTTGTTTTCTTTTATGTTAAGGTTGATTGATATGTGTCCCAGCTGATACGATATTCCAGATCTTACGTTTTTCTATATCAAATTTTATTGACGTCAAATTATTTGGTTGATCGTTATGGAATATCTATGTCATAGATAACCACGGATATGTTACAATTGTTGTACCCTCGATTCCGTCCATTTTTCCTCGATTTTGACATCCGCGAATAAGACGTTTCAACAAATGTGTATTTTTCCATTAGCAACTCGATGTACGGGTGCCATACTTGGAACAGGAACCGCTAATCCTTCCGGAGCACCTGAGATCACCCCGGTTTTAAATGGGGTTTGTGTTCCTCAGTCTTTTGTTTTCTATGTTGTTGTATTGTTGACTGTTGGTGGGTTTTTTTCTTGCCATGGTATTGATGGTTTTTCTTCCGAGTTTTGAATTAAGATTGTCCCTTAAATTTCTTCTGCCTCTTTTTTGCCGGTGTTATGCTTTGTTGTCTTCTTCTAATATCTTTCCAAGAAAATGAAAACATTACAAAAACACAACTTTTATAGCTGTGAAATCAACATACCAAAACTTATACAAATTAAATAAATAACTGAGCATTAAATAATAAATACATAAAACTTGTGAAACCTGTGACGTCAAAATAAGCACAATCTTGTCAGATTTAATAAGGAAACTATGGGGTATGCTTTAGCAACGTCGTTAAAAATTACTTAATTAGTACGCTCCGGAGGAACAAAACATCTATTAGAGATTAATTAAAAATAAGAAGTCATTTCTTTTCATAGAATTTCGATTAAATAAATTAAGTTAAAAACTGGGTTTACTAATACAAAAAGTAGTTGTGAAAGCATCTTAAATATATCAATTAGACAGTTATCACAAACACAACCAGGATTAGTCATATGTACTTCCGGCACTAAAGTTAGACATTTCTGTAATAGGACTATGGGCGTCATGGTTTATTGAAGAATTATTCGGTTGTAAATGAACATCGGAATTGTCATGCGTATTGAATATGTCATCATTATATTCTCGAACTCCTTGGCATACTTTAAATGTCAGTAAACGTTTGAATGCTGTTTTGTATGCTCTATTGAAGTTGTAGTAAAGGAACGGATTTAGCATTGAATTAACATATCCCAGCCAAATTGCTGTTGTAAAAAGAGCATACGGAAGCTTATATCCGATCAAAGGATCTACAATATTCATAATGAAAAATGGAAACCAGCAGACACAAAAGCAACCCATGATAATAGTGATTGTCTTAGCGGCTTTCGTTTCTCGCTTTAGTTTACCTTTTTTATGTTTATGTAAATGAGCTTCTAGACTATGGATATGTTGCGCTTGTTTTCTGGCTACTTGAAATATTTTTATATTGCTTAGAATTAGACATATAGCAGGAATGTAAAAAGCTATAGTTGAGCAAATTATCGAAAATGGTTTGTTTACTATAAATCCACATACTTCTTCATTTGGCGGAAAAAGGCAATCATGCAGTTCTTCGATTCCAATGAGATTCCATTTAAACATAATAGGAAGAAATGATATGAAAATAGGCGTTATCCAACAAGCAGCCAACATTAATCCAATGATGGCCTTGCTGATTCGTTCATGTAAAAATGGCCGACAAATAGCCAAATACCGGTCTATCGCTAAACATGAAAGATGCATGATGGATGTTGTCGTGAACATAACATCAAGACTTGTAGTCACTAGACATAAATCTTTACCTAGCTGCCACACTTTGTTGTTATACTGTTGATATATTCCAAATGGCATTACAAAGACGGCCACCAATAAATCAGCAACCGATAGAGACACAACGAATGCATTAGTTATTGTCTGAAGACGTTTATGTGTGTATACCGCTATTATAACTAGAGCGTTACCACCAGCTGTCAAAAGTGGGAAGAATGTCAATACTGCCGTCAAGAAATACCTCGTTTCTTGGTCCAGAAATGGTGGAGGACCTGCAACATTTGCGAGTATTGCTCTACAGAACTCACTAATATTAGATGTTGTCGCGTTAGACATTCCTGGTAAAACATAACTAAACTATCATTAATTAAATCCCAGTATATTCTATTCAGTATCTTAAGATTGTTGATCTGGATCCAGAGTCTAAATGATTTATCGTCTTATGATAATTAGTGTACACCCATCTCTCCTTCAATATCTAAAAATAAAATTAGAAGACTTCACAATGAGTTATAAACATTTACGTCTTTTTTTATTCATATGAATAACATGTTAATCATAGCTTGAAGAAGTATAATTTCTGTTGTTCAAGGATAACTTTATTGGAACATGCATTATAAAATACGATGAAACCCAATTTAAACATGATAGGCAAGACATTTAACAGAAAATAAATCGACAATGATAAGACTAAGAACAGGTCACGTGAATAATCATTAATACTGGGAGTAACAATGTTACTGTTAAAATTCCTTAAAGAGACACTTTCAATTTATTGCTACAAGTGTATGGAATTCAAAGCTTACGTCACGAAATAAAGTCTTCTCGTTTACAATTACAAAATCTCGTTTATAATTACAACATCTCGTTTACAATTACAAAAAAAAAATAATAATTCTGTTTTAGATCTTTACAGCAGGAATATTACAAAAGAAAAGATACAACAAAAGTGTGGTAAAAACTATGTCTCTGTACTTCATGTTATATATTTTTTTATTGTATGGAATATTAAAGATTATTTTTCTTAAATATACATTTTCTTAACATATTGTATCAATAACATGATATGACTTGTACAATGTTTGAACTACATGTGAAACGCGACCACTTAACCACCGAAACACATGCATCTCTTTGATTATATTTAGAATTGGTATAAGACAATATTTTTAATTATTCATTTGCTGCATGTTATTATCATTATACTCATGTATAAACACCTACTTATATTAAGCTGTATCCATTAATCTAATAATAAATCCATATACATACTAGATAGGATGATTTCAGTGTAGATACTTGTAAATATCAGCATACTGTGTCGAAATCTATTTAGAACAACACGACGAAGCACTACCCGTTTCATCAACAATTTAATCCCCTGCATTTTTTTACCTCGTTTTATCAAAATAATAATGACTTTTTTCCCATTTCAAGATTAAATTCTTATAGAGAATGCATTAGCCGGGAGATTAATATACGAATGATTTGATTCTGATCCATAAATTCCAATTTTTCATATGCATTTGAAAACATACTGTTCCACGTATAAAGAAATATGATTGCAAGTAATTTATATACGAACAATTTATACAGTTCAAACATAATAAATATGTGCTGTCTTTTAATAAAGTTAAGCCATTTCAATTGATATTCTATAGTGTGTCTTTCTATGTTGTGATGTTGCACTATTGTTTCAGGTAGGGTGAAGGTTGGCGCCTATCAAAACGTTTTAACCCGCTGCATTTGTTTGCACCTGTCCTAAGTCAGGAACCTGATGTTCAGTGGTTGTAGTATGTGGTTCAAAAGTGTTTCTCGTTTTTATATAGATTAGAACGTTGGTTTTCCTGTTTGCATGGTTTTACACTAGTCATTTTGGGGCCCTATATAGCTTGCTGTTCGGTGTGAGCCAAGGCTCCGTGTTGAAGGCCGTTCTTTGACCTATAATGGTTTACTTTTTCAAATTGTGACTTGGATGAAGAGTTGTCTCATCGGCACTCATACCACGTCTTCTTATATCTATATATGATGTTTTCTGGTTTCTGGCGAACGAAAATTGTAGTTTCAAACTAAAAGACATTTGATACAAGTTTATAGACATTTCAAGGAGTTTAAAGTAAGTGAAACGAACATCGTTTATACAAAAGGGGATACACAACTGCCATGTGTATTTAAGCAACCTCTGACATTTGTGATCCCCGATGTAATAAAGGGAATAAAAGAAGTTTGATCAAGCTTCACCGACAGAGGGTTACTAACCGGGACTCTACAAATATGTGGTATGTATCAAATACCCAAATTATCCTTCGGAAGAGACTTAAATGGCGACTCGTTTTAGTGCTTAGCTGCTAGAACAAATAAAACCCATCTGTATCGTTCGTTAAGAGTATGCTAATTTGGACATATGATGAGGCTAAAATTACCAACCTATCCCACTGTCCATATTTTTTTTATATGGCTGTAAAAGTTCGTTCAACTTTTGTGTCCCTGTAAACTCTTCTTTTCTATGTTATGTTTATTTCTTGGTCTTTTAATTTGATTCAATCCATAATTATCGCCTAGCTATAGCTTTTTTGTGCTACTGGGGTGTAAAGCACCTACGATCAGTTAACCAATATAACACTTGCCAAAAGTAAACTTCTTCACTTTTCATACTTTAACATTTTGCCTAAAGTTCAAGAAGAAAGATTCATAAAACGATATAAGTTATTGTCCATATAATGTCACAGTTGTCTCTTCTATGTCCAAATGAATTATCGTTCTATGTTATAGTCGTGTTATCGAGAACAATCGAGAAATGAATTGGCAAAACGTATAATCGTACTTGTAAATTTTGTCAGTTCAATAATAACATTAAATATCTACCACTGAGTTTTGATAGTAATTAAGGGTATACGATCTTACTCATATGCACATCATTGCAGTTTCCAGCTGATTAAGCTATTTTAGAAGATTCTAACAGTTCGACAGCATTGCAAATAGATTTTGTTCACAAATGTTTTATCTAGAAGTCAAATGTACTTTTCAAAGGAGTTTCAACATATCGGAAAACAGTTTAAACCTTCATTACATAATAAAAGAAAGGCGAATGATACCATGGTATCATTTTTCAGAAGAAATGACTAAGTATCATAATTTAGAAGAAAAAAATAGTACTATAATTCAGATGAAAAGACAACAGTACTACAATTCAAAAGAAAATACAACAGTACCATAATTCAGAAGAAAAGACAACGGTACCATAATTCAGAAGAAAGGACAACTGTACCATAATTCAGAAGAAAAGACATTACCATAATTCAGAAGAAAAGACAACAGTACCTTTATTCAGAAGAAAGGACAAAAAGGTAAAGATAATATGTTGCTGTTAAATTAACTTAATGGCCAGGATCATGAAGTTTTGGCAGAGGTCTTACTTAGACAGGATTATTATGGAGACTTTTCATCTAGTGGTATTTTATGACGTTAAAGATTGTCAAAGAAATCAATTCAGGTAAGAGGGGAAATCGTACAAGACACTGCGCCTCTCCTCCCCCAAAATAACAAACAAAAAAACGAAAACGAAAACGAAAATAAACTAACTACGTTGTATCGAAATTGTTAATGTGCATTATCAAGGACAGAAAGAAAGGAAGAAAATATGTGCCAAGTGAGAGAAAGAAAGGCAGACGCAGACTACGAAACAACGAGCGATGAAACAATAATAGATCTAAAATGAATGGTATTGCATTCACTACCAGAAGATGAATCACCAAACTCATAAAGCAAGCTGTGACATCAAAGTAAGGTGCTGGCATGCATGGATAGTAAGATTTAACAAATGATTCCAATAATTACTGCAAAAATTATAAAAGGAAAATGGCGGTATAGCAAAGTCAAATACACCTTATGACTAACAATTCACATAACATTACATTGTTCGATTGATCATTATAGTGACTTGTTTTCAACTTACAAGCTTAATATTATATATTGAAACAATTAAATCTTTTGTGTCGTCACATAAATTGTTGAGGTCCATCAAACCCATATTGACAACTTGAAAAAATGACAACTTTATAATATGAAAAGCTTCTACTATCTCAATTTTCCATCTAGTATTTCAACTGTTGAAATTACTTTATCCAATCTGGAAAAGACTTTTATCTTTAGAGTCCCTGAAGGCAATTACTAATCACATAATAAGCTCAAGATCGGTTCTTTAAGAAAAACCACCAACGAATATCAACCTTATTATTTTGGACTTTAACGGACTCAAACAATCGTTCAGAGCAAACTTATACATTTAATCATATCATCTTTTTTTCTTGAAAATTCCATTCCTCCTGAAACTGTTTTAGTCCTCTTTTATTTAAATTGTATTCACATCTTTGAAAAAAAATAATTTTAATAGTTTGCTCCAAATCTTGATTACTTTAATCAAGAAAATAATTTCGATCGCGGAAAATTCAGCACATTTGTCTTTTCGACCATTGATTTCATACATCTATTCAAGGATTTTCTGTTCCTTAGTGGTCATTGCTTGCTTTAAGCACATTTTGTAAACTTATCATATGACCTTCCTTTATTTTTACAAAGCCTAATAATCCAGCTCCCACGGGGGAAAATGTACAAATTTAAAAATGGTGATATATTATGGGGACAACACTGTAAACATTTGGATGTCCTTATTCATCCAAACATCATTTACAAAGATATATAGACATCGCAACGTAGCTATCGAAACCACAAGTTGCATCGCTGAATTGGTCCATTGGCCTTACACTAATTTGATTATATGTTTTCGGCTTTTTTCAATTTGATCGCTCCCTATGTATAGTTATCCATCTTTGCCTGTCAGAAATTTGTCTGTGATACTTTCGCATGAAAAGGTCTTTGAACGAATATCACTTTCAGAATATGATATATTATATAACAGTTATCATAAAGCAATGTTCCAATTAGCATGCAGACACCCATGTAGCAATTCAAGCTTTAAACGAACATTTATAGGGAAAATACAAAAATCAGGGGAGTGGAAAATTGTATATGGCATAGTACAAACTTTTAATACTGATTTCAAAGGGAGCGACACGTGCTTTTCGTATACGCTTCAGACCAAATATAAGGGAAGTAAAATAAAATGCTCGCGAGGAACAAAAATAGAATGCCATAAACAGAAGTCAAAACCTTTTAGCTCAACTTTGCCTGAGGCCGTTGCAACCGAATACAGTTACCATGGATACAAAAAAGTAATTCAAAATTAAAAAATAGAGGTAAATTACTTCAAAAAAGTCCACGTGATAGCGCATCAAAGTATAATAAATTTACAGCTATACTAAACGGTAATTTCTTTTAAAAACGTCTACAGTGTACATGGAATGAACAACCTGACCATTCTAGTCTGGAACTTAATGAAAATCAATTTAGTTTCTAAAAAAATATGAATGAAATGATTAAGCCCGACAGTCTTACCAATAAGGGAGATAATGAAAATATAATACATTAATTTGATTTTGCAAGAAACGTTTTATCGAAAACTCACTGCTTTAGTTTATTCAATTGCACTTCAACTTAAGGTTCCAATAATTTTAAAGTATGTACAGTGTTTATCATAAGACATTATTGGTTCAAAGTAAGAATATCACCCCCAGGGATTTATATAGTTGTAAAGTTGCGCTATTTTCCAGCTTGAATGTATTTCGAAGTAATTAATGACTAATTGCATTTAATTTCAATGCATCTTTGCAAGTCAAGTTGTTCAAATATCAAAGGTTTATTCTCCTCTGGGAAACAGTTGTGGTAAAAATTCCTTGAATATCATGCAATAATTTATCACAAGTTTAGTTATAAAATATTTTTCGTATTTTATATTATAAGTTATTAAAGCTGATATATATATATAAAATCAACATAACTACAATATCCATACAAGAATTTCAATGAACAATTAATCCCTTTAAAGATTTTTTAACAGCAGATACCTACTTAAAATATTTAAGGATATGTTGTTGACAATTTAAGTATGATAACAGCCTTAAAGTATGTTATATAAAATTATATACTTACCACAAAGAGTTAAAAATAAACCCAAGTCCAAAATACATTAAAAGCATATTTTTATCCCATTATTGCATTCGAGTTACACACGTTAGGATGGTAACAGTATTGTGCCGAATGTAAAACGATATTCATCAATGTCAAATGTTTGAGCATAATTCTTATTGCAGGCAATGTTCTAACATCTTACGTTTTTCTCAGAGACATGGTATGTGATATAACTTAGCAAAGGCTGAGGTGCAAACCAGGAATGTTTATTTACTTTTATAATTTTTGTGTGTACATACCCCTATCTTATACCTCTTAACGTCAAGATTACAATTCGTTATGACAAATACAGAAAAGAAACATGTTTTTGCTAGGAGATAAAAGATTGTTGGTTAAAAATAGAAAGCAGGAACAAATTCAGACAGGGAAATATTTAACTCGTGATTTTGACGCTGTTGTATCTTCCTTCCACTTCTATATAAAAACCAGATTTAGAATCACCAATATACGGAAATAAAATCTCGCACCGACACTCCAACTGCTTAAGTATTCTTTTTGGTCTGATCAATCATAATAAAAGTTACCTTTCCATTCAATAAATAATTACCAAAACAATATCAATAAGACAAAACAAACCCCCCCCCCCCCCCCAAAAAAAAAACAACGCATAAAGAGAAAGAAAAGGGGGAAATCTTGTTTTGATTGATTGATTGTTGGTTACTTTACGTCCTGTTGCTAATCTTGTTTTGAACCTTGTAAATGACATTGTCTAGTTTGAGAATAGCTAGATCATAACTCTATTTAAAATTGCCAGGGTGTAACAATGTTACAATAGCTTACGAATTCCCTGTACTTGAAGCTTAGGTAAAGAAAAGAAGCCTTAAATATGAAATACCGATGGAAGACAAGTTCACAATTAGGCAGGACGACGAAAATAAAGCAACCATGGAGATATGGTATAGATGCCAAGAAGATGGTAAACCATACAAAATTAGAGGAAAAAGGGCACAGAAAAGTTAATTTTAGGGACAGTCACCGCCGTCTATCATTTAATGATTAGGAAGACGCGATGCATTCAAAACACATATACACCAATAAGCAAACAAATTGTAAAAAAAGCAATTTTAATGCAAACAAAGGACAATACAAACTTATATAGAGCAATACTTTCTTTAATCACGTACATGTGCGTCTTAATGTAGATTTTGGCACTTGAAAGTACAAGCCACTTTACATTAGAAATAACTATTACGAGACAAACTTTTTTTAGAAACATCATTTACTTTCCTTTAAACAATAAATTTTCTGAAGACAAAAATATTATTCCATAAATATGTCTTACACTAATTGTTGGATAATTTATGAGTAGAACACGGAAATCATTCATTTTTTGTAATCTAATCAAAGAAAACATTGCGCAAACGATTTGATTTATCGCTATAAATATCAAAGACTTGTTATGAGGAAAAAAATGGTATTTATCCAAAATTTTGACTTTACGTTTTTTTTTACATAATTGAAACCGACATAGGTACAGCTATCAGTGTTAAGGAGGTTACAAAATAAAAACAAAATATTATTTGATGATTTAATTAAATAATTATTAAGAAGAGAGAAAAACCAGTGCGTGCAGTAGTGTATGACGTACATTGCAAAAGCAATAAAATCAAGAAATGGTATTCACATAGGGGATATTTAGATGAATATTAATATTATAACAATTCAAAATTGTGTACAATGTAGGCATTACAACCCTTTTATGTTTGGCATTCAAATCTGGTTTCGAGAATAATTTCAATAGCTGTAAGTGGCTTTTCCGAAAACACTGATAATCACGACAAAAATTTACAAAATATTATGCCATCATCTTATTTATTAATCAAATTGCACCATAATTTTTTCAGATTTTAATTAAGGCGGAATTACATATTTGCTATAACCTTATTTATGTTGAATTCTGTCGATAATGGAAATGAAAACAAATATTTAGTATAATAAATAGGCCACTTAAATGATTTGAGAGCAATTATTGAACTAAAATAATTCCAATGGTGTATGTTAAGTCTTATAGCATTTGTGTGCGTCATGACAAACAAAATATGTATACATGTATTTACCCGAAAATAGTTCTACATTTCTACAAGTTCTGTGAGGGCTGATCAAATTTTTACTGTCCATAATTTTCGGTGCATTTTAAAGGTATAGTATGTAATAAAAGTTTTTTTACGGACTTTATTTATGTGTAAAAACTCATCAATGATTCCAAACTTATAAATTGTGTACGCTTACACAAGACTCAGTAGCTCTCGAAACAAAACAGTTGGAACCCCAAATCAAGTACGAAGTTAAAGAGCATCGAAAATAATACATTCCAGAAAGTTGTGCCAAATACGGTGAAGGCCATCTATTTAAAAATAGGGGTAAAAAATTTAGTTTTTCGAATAATTTAACATTCTATAATTGTAAATTAACGAAAAATGAGCGTATCAACATTTCATGTCAACACATAAGTGTTGACTACTGAGCTGCTAATAATCCCGGGGATGAAACGTCCACAATTAGTGCCATCGACTCATGAAGTTGTTCCTTTACAACAGACTCATGAGTGGTGCTTGAAACTTAACTATAAGAAGGCCAAATATAATACAAAATTGAAGAGCACTGAAATAAATCAAAACGTTGGGCCAAATACGGATAGGGTCATCTATGTCTGAGGATAGGACAAATTTTAGTGTTACATTACGAATAGTTTAATTTTTATAAACATGCCGTAAATACACATAAAATGCCCTTATAAATTATTTCATGTCAACAAAGTAGTGCTTATGACTTGTTGGTAAGTTTTTACGACTTGGTGGAAAGTTTTTAGTGTGAAGATAGAGTTAAACATCAACTAAAGCCTGTAAAATAACCTTTATCACTTTAATGAACCCTTTTAATGGATATATAATACTTATTCTAGTGGATAATTTTCTTGATTTAGAAAACAAATTGAAGGAGTCAAAATGTCAAACCATACAAGCTGAATAAAGTTTACTGTATTAGAATCCTGACCAATACAAATAACGAAACAGAATATGTTAATCCTTTCGTATTGATATTGCATAAAGTTAACACTCAAGTGTTCACTGTTCAGTCGTATATGGCTTGTGCCGTGCATTGCTTTTGATTCACCTGGTATGTGCATGTATTATCCTCTGACTTCGATATTTTTTTGTCAGCGGGTATTTGGCACAAATCTTCTGAATTGTCGGTTTTTGAAGCTCTTCAACTTCGTATTTGATTTGACCCTCCAAATGTTTTTATTTGAGCGCTGCTAATGAATTTGATTTTGACAAAACGCGAGTCTTGCGTACCAACTAATAAGCTTGGTATCTTTGATGAGTTATTACAACCACTTTGCGATAACACTTCTGATGGACGTTTCGTCCCCGAAGGTATCGGCCAGCCCAGTAGTCAGTACTTTTGTGTTGACATGAATATCATTGATATATTTATTTTTTGTACATTTACTGTATTTAATGTTAAATTAACCTAAACATTAAGGTTGTTCTACCCTCAGACATATATTGTCTTAACCGTATTTGGCACAACTCTTCAGAAGATTCTGGTTTTTAATGCTCATCTACTTTGTTTTTTATTTGGCCCATCACATCTTTTGATTTGAGTACCTTAGATGAGTCGTATGTCGACAAAACGCGCGACCGGCGTACCAAATATAACATTTTGTATCTTTGATGAGTTTTCATCAGTTTTTATTTGTCCACTAACGTCTGACATCGTTGATGTCCTTAACCATGACAATTATTACTGACGATAACCTTGAAATCGCACGGTTGAATGACTTTACCAGGTACGTGGATTTATCATATTAAAACCAGTTAGGTGAATATATCATATCAGAACCAGGTACGGGGATGTATCATAGTAGGACCAGAAACGTTGATAAATCATAGTAAGACCAGATACATATATGTATCATAGTAGGACCAGATACATAAATGTAGCATAGTAGGACAAGATACGTGGATGTACCATAGTATGACCAGATACTTGGATGTATTGTAGTAGGACCATACATCATCTAACAGGTGCTACTTTGAAACATCCACATGTCTGGTCCTACTATGATACATCCATCCACCAGGTCCGACTATGATACATCATTTTAGCAGGTCCTATTATGATACATCCATCTACATGTCCTACTATGATATATCCATCTACATGGTCCAACTAATGACACAGCTACGTACTTGTTCCTACTATGATACATACATTTACCTTGTCCTACTATGACACATCCATCTACATGGTCCTACTATGATACATTCATCTACCTGGTCCAACCGTGATACATCCATCCATCAGGTCCGACTATGATACATCAATTTAGCTGGTCCTATTATGATACATCTGTATACCTGGTACTACTATGATACATCCATCTACATGGTCCTACTATGATGTATCCATCTACATTTTCCTACTTATGATACAGCTTCGTACTTGGTTCTATTATGATACATCCATTTACCTTGTCCTACTATGATACATCCATCTACCTGGTCCTACTATGAAACATCCATCTACCTGGTCCTCCTATGATACAGTAACGTACTTGATCTTACTATGATACACCCATTTACCTGGATCTACTAAGATACAATCACGTAACTGGTCCTACTATGATACATCTATCTACATGGTCATACTAAGATACAATCAGTTACCTGGTCCTACTATGATACATCCATCTACATAGTCCTACAAAGATACAATCATGTACTTGGTCCTACTATGATACAGCTACGTACCTGGTATTTACTATGACACATCCATCTACGTGGTCCTATTATGATTTTTTTTATGCTACATCCATCTACCTGGTCCTACTATGATACAGCTACTTACTTGGTCTTTACTATGATACATCCATTTACCTGGTCCTACTAAGATACAATCACGTACCTGGTCCTACTATGATACATCCATCTACATGGTCCTACTAAGATACAATCATGTACGTGGTCCTACTATAATACGTCCGTCTACATGGTCCTACTAAGATACAATCATGTACATGGTCCTACTATGATACAGCTACGTACCTGGTCTTTACTATGAAACATCCATCTACGTGGTCCTATTATGAGTTTTTTTATGATACATTCATCTACCTGGTCCTACTATGATACAGCTTCTTACTTGGTCTTTACTATGATACATCCATTTACCTCGTCGTACTATGATACATCCCTTTACCTAGTCCTACTATGACACAATCACATACCTGGTCCTTCTACGATACAATTACGTACTTTGTCCTTGTCTGATACATCCATATACCTGGTCCTACTATGATACTATCCATATACCTGGTCCTACTATGATACTATCACGTACCTGTTCCAGCTATCGTTTTATTCAGTTTTGGGGTTCTGACTACTTTCACACCTTATATTTGTTTGTTCAAAGCCGGACTTCTTACGTTTTACCTTTGTTTGATAACAGCTAGATATAAGATTTGTAAGACACAGAAGATAATTTAACTGAGATGCAGAAGCACTTGTTCACATTTACAATAATAAGACAGCAATTAATAGAAAAACGAATTGAGTGCTCTAT